ACCTTTGTATTCACAGAGCTCTTTAAGACAGGAACTTCTCTAGGTGGTCTCCGTCTAGGTGTTGTAGGTGGTTTTGTAAATGACGCCTGTCTTGCTGAACTGCAGGCTTTAGGACTTATTGGCAAACATCTTACAGGACCGTGGATGAAAAAGTTTTACACTGCAGCAAACACAGCTGAATCAAGGTGGTCAAGAATCTAATTGAAAATATCCTTTGTACGCTTAAGGATCCGCAGCGGTTACCGTCTACCAAAACCTATCTGTTTGGTGACCCTCTGAATTTTGCCCAACAACCGAGCCACTAAGATCATTACCAATAACAAGTCTGAAGAGATGATACCAGCTTGTTACAGTTCTGGAGCGTCTGTACAGTAGGTACTTTAGTATTGAAATGACAGAGAAACTGAGGCCAGAAACAACATCAATCCGTCTACACAATACAGACTCGGAGGAGATAATGGGCATGTTTAGTGCTGTTAAAACAAGGGCTCCGAATGCCACATTATGTTTTTTATCATCGCGGATGCGAGCTTGCAAAAACAAGATTGTTACGTGTGTAGATAGCCTTACTGAAGACAGAAGGGAGATGGTTCTAAGAAAGGCTGTGGCACTTGGTCGAAAATAACGAGACCAAAAAAGGAGAACTCAGAAAGACCTGCAGCAAGAATTGATCAGTCGACAGAAAAAGAAACGACAAATTAAGGATGATACAGAAAGAAAACAAATGGAACGATTACTGAAGAGTGAAGGTTTTGAGGCATTGAAAATAATTTATCCTGACCTTGACTATACACAGGCAGATATTGCTTCTGAACTCCTGGATGGAAATGCGGCAGGGAAGATGATCTGCCACATGTGGTCTTTTGATCTGGAACCGTACAGTGGAATGGTCAGAAAACGATATAAGAACAAAGACTAAAAAAATGTGTCTTATTGGAGACAAGAAGGAATAGATAATGCGACAGATCATCAGATTTCAATGTATTTCTTGGTGATTGATTTATTGCACGGGGATCTGATTTATGACAATTAACATAAGCTGGAGATGACAATGGTAATGGTACAAAAGCCCATGCCTTACTTCTACTTAGTTTGTAATTATTAATAGTAATGGAACAAAAGCCCATGCCTTACTCCTATTATTTAGTATGTAATTATCTATAGTAATGGTAAAGACAGGTTGCCAGGCAACGAAACAGACACTCACAGAAGCTAAATCGTCCAGTCAGTCAACAAGAGTTGTCGCATATTTTTACTTTGAAACATTTTATATGAAACATTTATAATACACTAAAATTGGATTAAGAGTAACAACTCATTAAGTAATTATCAGAAAATCATTACAATTGTTTGGCCCATGCTAATGTTTAGTATACAAAACATTTAATATCATGGATTTAGCTGTTCAAGTTATCAAAAATCAATGGAAATCAATATACTTGTTCGTCCCAAAACCTTAAACTCTGTGTATCAATCTAATGTCAATCGAAACGATTATATATAGGCGTAAACACGGTGTATAAATATAAAATCAATCAGATGATAACTTTGGTCTCTACAGCATCCACTAGATTTTTTTAAAGTGATCAAGTGTTATCAATAACTCTGGCGGTAATTATCGGAAATCGTTGAAAATGCGTATAAATTTAAAATCAATCGGATATTAACACGAACTTTGAAAGTGATCAAGGGCCATAACTCTGACCGTAATTATGGTAGCCATCTTGGAAAATTGCTGTTCCGGGCCAAAGTATTAATGATAGGTCAAAAATTTGGTCAAAAGTTCAGATTTACCGAAAAATTGTCGCCATCTTGGAAAATGGTAGCAATCCTTAAAAATTGCCGATCCGGGTGCAAAAATTAATGATGGGTCAAAAATCTGGCAAAAAAGGGTCAAATTTACAGAAAAATGGTGGCCATCTTGGAAAATGGTTATCACCTTGGAAAATTGCCAATCCCGAACCCAAAAAGAAGTAATAGGTCAAAAATATGGCAAAGAAACACTGCTGCAATTTTTTTTCTACAGTAAAATACATTATATTGTCATATGAATGATCATACTGTTTTACATTCCCTTATGATAAAAGAGCGCTATGGTAAAGAAAGAAATTGTCATATCATACTTATTTAGCAACCGATGTTTCCTCTCGGCAACCTCCATTCATTGAAATTAAATAGAAATCATTTCGTGGTACTTTTATTTTTTGTCACACCTAAACAATGTCAACCAAAAAAATGATTGAATGGTCTTAACTTACTGTCCTAAAACAAAATCGTTTTGGTTAACTGGTTCATAATCATCATAATGACAACCGTGGATATGGTATTGGTAGGGTGTATATTAGCGTAGAACTGACGAAATCATGTTTATTTTATTAAGTAGAATAGTAGCCCCTCAAACCAGTAGAAAAGATGAACTCCTAGTAGAAGTTAAGGTTGTATTTATTTAGACGTTTCGGACTAAGGTGTCCTTCCTCAGTAAATGAGTTGAATGAAGTTGTTGTTGTTAGCGTTTAACGTCCGCTTCCACCGAAGGTGATATCGCAGACAAGTTCATTTTAATGATCTTAGCGCACGCGCAGGGGTCTTTGCTGTGGGAGGAATCCGGAGTGAACCCACGAGGTTGAGAAGGCGCCCCTATCTCCAAGCTGAATGAAGCGAAGCGTGCGGTATTTATACTAATTGATTGTGACGTAACGTGATTATTTAGGATGGTATATGAGTAAATTGGATTAATCATGATCATCTGGGAGTGATCAAGATTATTCAAGAGGGTTTACATGTAAATAAGAGAATTTTGATAATAAAATCTAAAGTTTTGAATAAAATTGTAGAGCGGGGTCGGGTACTTTCGGACAGTTAAGCCCACCTGTTCATAACCTCGTTATTTCTGAGTGGAAACTGAAAAAAAATACTTATATGAGATGTTACGAATGCGATTATACGAACCGGAAGCAAAAAATCCAGCTAAGTGGAGGCTCGCGTGTGCCGAATGAAGTTGAACTACACACGCGCATTCGGGTATTGTCGGACATGTCGGGTGTATTCGGACAACATTTCGGGTCTATCCGGACATTTTTACTTTTTTTAAAAAAATAAGTTGTCGCACTCTAAATGTTTTATTTACACTGTAAGTTAATTCAGAGATTTTTAATTAGTTGTATACTGTACAAAAAAGTAGATTTTATTGAACAAATTTAACTGTACAATTGAATAAAGTAGATTTTAATGAATTTTTTTTAACCAAGTAGCACAATTTAAAACAATTAGAATCTGCCTAACAAATCAATTTCATCTAGAATTTAATTCATTATATTAATACAACTCACTACCAATACAAATATTTTAACCATGCTGCCAGAAAGTTAGTAAATTAACAACAGTAATCGCACTCGAAGTATAAATTCTCGATCTCCTCCTCGTCGAAGCCCATCAAATCTATGATGTGTACACATCTACGATGAAACCACCGTGGACATTTGTTGCACCCTATCCACAAACTAGCGTCTTCCTCTTTGTATGGTAGATCACACCTGAAACACATATTTGGGTTGACCTCGGCTATATCATCACCTGAATCATCGTCAACGGAGAAACTTTCGCTTGAATCCGTGTCGTCGTTTAATTTACGTTTTTTTGTTTCTTTTTCAAGCTTCTGTAAGCGTTTTTTCTCTTCTCTCTCGTTCTTGTTTCTCTCTCTTTCTAGTTTCCTTTGTTCTTTAAGCTTCCCCTTTTCTATTCTTTTCTCCTCTCTCTCTCTCGCTATCTTGGAGGCAATTTCATCTTCTTTGTCCTGTTTTTTCTGCAATAACAAATTCCTAAACTTGTCACCGGTTATGGCTTTTGGAAGGGGGGTCCTCTTTGGGCCATTAACTTTAAGCGCGACTTGTGGTAATTGTAAATTCTGTTCAAACGCTGAAGAAACGAATGATGCAACTGGAGCAATAGGAATCGCGGTCCATTGTTCTACATTTCTTGAAGATGGTAGGGGTGTAATGTCGGCAGTTACGGTGAATGAGGATGATGGCTGCAATGGAAGTGATGACAAGGGACCAAGAGGTGCTATGGATGCACCGGGTGGCGATGATGGTGCGTTATTCGGAGATAGTAATGAAATGGAGGAAGTTGACGGCCCGACATTAGAAACAAGAGTTCTAGATGACGATGATGCGTGAAGGGGGGATGTTGATGGTCCGACATTAGAAAAATGGGTAGTAGATGATGATGATGTGTTTTCGGAAAAGTGGACGGTCTGACATTAGAAATATGAGTAGTAGTTGATGATGATGATGATGATGATGATGCGTTTTTCGGAAAAGTGGGCGGTCTGACATTAGAAATATGAGTAGTACTAGTAGTTGATGATGATGATGATGCGTTTTTAGGAAACGTAGACGGGCTGACATTAGAAATATGAGTAGTACTAGTAGTTGATGATGATGATGATGCGTTTTTAGGAAAAGTGAACGGTCTTACATTAGGTATACGAGCTGATAATGTTGATGATGCTGTATATGCAGGACCAAATGAAGCTGCCAATGATGATGATGGACGCATTGATATTGGTGTTGATGAGTGCCCAGTAGAGGAGGATGGTGGAATAGGTTGCTGAGTATTTTGCCTTATAAATATCTTACTGGGGTCCATTTTTGAAGTTTTCAAAACCATTGACGGATCCATAGGAAAAAGGCCCGCATCCCTAAACCCCTTTACAGCGTTCTCAATTGTAGTAGCCCTGACCCAGGCCCCCTTGAAAGTTTGTGCAAAAAGCTGTTTTGTTACGACCTGGCCAATGTGATCGGATTGAAATTGGCGCACGGACTGTTTCCACATTTCTTTCAGGGTGCCAAAGAGACGTAAATCACAAGGTTGCATTAGATGCGAGGCGTGTTCCAGTAAGCAGTATAGAACTATACCATTCTCCCTGCAAAGATCGCAGGCATCTAATGTAAGATGGGTAGAATGCCCATCGACAAAGAGGACAACGGGTCGACGGACACCTCTCTCTACCACTTCTGATATGAACATATCCCGAAGCCAAGTAGAAAAGAGTTCGCTGTCCATCCACCCGTTCTCCGTCCTGCCAAATGATGCCTCTTCAAATCCCTCAAGAGGATTATACGAAAATCGCTGCCCGGGAAAAACAATCTGAGGCTTTGTGTACGTGTAGTGTCCCGCAGCACTCATGGCTGCCAAAACTGTTATTTGTGTTTTGTCTGACGAGGTGAAATTATAGATATTTTTTTGGCCTCGTTCTGCAAGAACTTTACATGTTTTTGAGCAAAGAGGGAAGCCGGATTCGTCCGCGTTGTACCACCTGCTCGGGTCGGCATATATAGTGCTGTCTTTTATTTCTATAGACATAAATTCATTGAAGTCATGAAACCACATAGTGACCTTTTCTGGAGTCAATAAAGCGCGCTCCTTACCAAGCTGCATTGTTGTACGGACAGATATATTTGGATGGCGTCTTATAAATCCATAATACCAGTCCTTGCCAGGCATATTATTTTTAAACGGGGTTATTCTTGTATCTTTGTCTAATATACTTTTAACCTTAGCTAAAAGTTCATACTTTGTCCTACCATACCCAATTTTGGACATATTGATGATGACCCATTCAGCCGAAATATTTTCTTCGTCAGGGGACAAAATGGTTCTTGGGATGGGAATTAAAGGAGTTTTTTCCTTTAATTTGTCATGCAGGGTGCTTTTAGGAATCCCATATGCAATAGCGGCCTTCCGCACCGACATGGTTTTATTGTTGACCATCTGCATAGCCATTGTCATCTCCGGATATGCATACCTTAATTTTAATTTTTTAGGATCTTTGAGTCTAATCTGATGGCTCATACTGAAAATTTTTTTTAAAAAGACTAGCTATTGATATTTTTTTTTATTAATTTACAATATTAATAAAGGATACGAAATAGACAAACAAAAATATGAAGATATAGATCTACCAAAAATTAGATAAAAAAAAAAAATACGACGAAAAAAAAATTGACCGGACAGACCCGATTGACTCGGAGTTGCGGAGTGTAAACTCGGAAGGAAGGATTGTATTCTAATCGAATGCACCCTAGCTTAGCCTCGTTTTCATAGCAAAGGACGGAACATAATGTAAACATAATTTATGAGAAAACAAGAATATAACAGTAAAGTAGTCCGTAGATGACTTATATTTATGATCTAGGAGCTTAGCGCATGCGCTTGCAGCAACTCACCTGTCAGTGGGCGGAGTAATTTATGTTTGTTGACCAATAAAATACTAGCTCAGCAACAGCAGACGAATTTTCTCCGACGGTGAAGGTCACGAGAAAGACAGGTCGCGCATGTTGGACGCTTTTCGTCCAATCAGAATTGATTTAGGTTGACAGAAGATAACGTCCGAGTGGACCCGACAGTCCGAGGATACCCGACCCCGCTCTATATATACCGCTCGATTCGCGGTAACATGATGGGATGATATGATTTATACAGATGATTAACAAATTTATCATATACAAATTGATTTAAAAATTGAAATTAATAATTAAAAAGTTAAAAAATTCTTTTTTTTTAAAAAAAAATTAGAGTTCTTAATTTTAAATTATGCAGGAACAGTTCTTATTCTTCAGAAAGATATATTAAATTCTTCTAAAATTTGGTTCAAGTTCAACTGGTGATATTCGTTGGATATCACATCGTGATCTGACACTGTCGGTGTTGGTGGTGTCTCTGTGTTTGATGTTGTGGATTCTTCCGTGCTGTTTAGTTGATGAAAAAATTCTTCCAAGTCTTTGAATTCGGTATCCTTCTTAACCGGGCTTAAGGTGATGGCTGTGTCCTCGGTGTTGGATTCAACTCGGATGATTGGAGGTCGTGGGTATATGGCAACGTAGGCTAATTTTCCCGGTTGTAAAATGGCCGCCAAGCTCAAAAGTCGGCACGCGATCACCATACACTCTAGTCAGTATATACATCTCTATGAATAAAACCAACAATAAAAAGGGCGATAATCCAGATAAGACAACGCCAAAAGATTAATAAACTATCAATTTAGGAACTAATCGGCATTATTCAGCTAAGTAATTGGACAAAATATAATAAGTAATACACCTATAAGAAATGCAAACTAGGTATGTGAAAGAAAATATATAAAAATGTATTTATATAAAGGCATAAAATAAGGGCGATAATCCAGATAGAATTGGGAAACGGCCGAAAATTTAATATAATTATTCAATTAAATCATTACCCAATATGTAATCAGTTATATACTTATAAGAAATGTCAGACTTAGTATGTTGAATAAATAGAAGTTTCGAAAATTCTTTTAAAATACGTAATTGTGTTCCTCCTTTGGCAGTGCACTTAAAGAGATTTTATTCTAGAGAGAAATAGTTGGGTGTTCGATCCCTGCATTGGCCGAAAAAGTTCATCCAGATTTACCGACGTGGTTCCCCCTTGTCAGCGATGCAGGATGGAGGGCCTGACAAGGAAAGCTGTCTAGTCGTTCGGATGGGACGAAAAACCGAGGTCTCGTGTACACATTGGCGTGCACGTAAAAGATCCCTTGACAGTCGGAATTGGATATAAGAGCAGGCCGTAGTGCCGCTGTTCGGGCAAAATTTCCCTCATATCACACTGTATGGCGTATGCCCGTCTTCATTAGCCCAGTTCGGAGCAGAATAGTAGGACGTTAAACCCCGCCCGGGCAGCGGCGCTACGGCCTACTCTTACATCGAGTTCCAACTGCCAAGGGATCTTTTACGTGCAGGCCAGTGTGTACACGGGACCTCGGCTGTTCGTCCGATTCGAACGAGTAGACAGCTGTCCTTGCCAGGCCCTCCATCCTGCATCTCTGAAAAGGGGGAAACCACGCCGGAAAATCATTTTTTTTTTATGGAATTTAGGTATAGAATAAATGTATAATAGTGCATCTATTTTAATACTATCTTTAATATCATTGCTCCTGTTGAAAGTATATTGGTTATGTAAAATATATAGTTTAGTTATATCCGTAATGCATTCTTCATTAGCCCAATTCGGAGTAGGACAGTAGGACGTTAAACCCCATTTCATTTCATTTCATTTTTTGGTGTTGGGCCAAAGTCCTACTTCAGTAAAAATATTCCTAAGATATAGTTTTTTACAAATCAATATTGTTGCTGTTGATATTGTTAGTTATTTTAGAATTTTACAATCTATATATATGTTTGTGACTGTCGTTTGTCTGTCTGTCTGTCTGTTCGGGGTTGGCGGCTACACTAGGTCTGCCCCGAGTCTGAAATTTGGGGTATAGGGGTAGCTCGGACCGGGGAGTAACATAGGCCAGGTGGCGTTAGTCTACCACTTCCGGTTTCGGAGTTATGACCCCCGAGCGAAGCCGGTCTGTTCGGGGTTGGCGGCTACACTAGGTCTGCCCCAAGTCTGAAATTTGGGGTATAGGGGTAGCTTGGACCGGGGAGTAACATAGGCCAGGTGGCGTTAGTCTACCACTTCCGGTTTCGGAGTTATGACTCCCGAGCGAAGTCTGTCAGTTCGGGGTTGGCGGCTACATCTGCCCCTAGTCTGAAATTTGGGGTAAAGGGGTAGCCCGGACCGGGGAGTAACATAGCCAGGTGGCGTTAGTCTACCAATTTCGGTTTCGGAGTTATGACCCCCGAGCGAAGCCGGTCTGTTCGGGGTTGGCGGCTATACTAGGTCTGCCCCGAGTCTGAAATTTGGGGTATAGGGGTAGCTCGGACCGGGGAGTAACATAGGCTAGGTGGCGTTAGTCTACCACTTCCGGTTTCGGAGTTCTGACCCCCGAGCGAAGTCTGTCTGTTCGGGGTTGGCGGATACACTAGGTCTGCCCCGAGTCTGAAATTTGGGGTATAGGGGTAGCTCGGACCGGGGAGTAACATAGGCCAGGTGGCGTTAGTCTACCACTTCCGGTTTCGGAGTTATGACCCGGTCTGTTCGGGTATCCTGCTAGTGCTATATAAATTAAATTACTTTGGTATCAGGGAGTTATGAAACCGGTCTGTTCGGGTATCCTGCTAGTGCTATGTAAATTAAATTACTTTGGTATCAGGGGGTCACGGTGGCAAAGTGGGTAAGACGCTGGCTCGCTAGCCTGGAGGTCGGGTGTTCGATCATTGCATTGGCCGAGAAAGTTCATTCAGATTTTCTGGCTTGATTTCCCCTTGTCAGTGATGCAGGAACGAGGGCTGACAAGGACAGCTGTCTGGTCGTTCGGGTGGGTGGAAAACCCGAGGTCCCGTGTACATATTGGCGGGCACGTAAAAAATCTCTTGGCAGTTGGAATTCGATATAAGAGTATTCCGTAGTACACCTGTCAGGGCAAAATTTTCCTCATAGCACACTGAATGGCGTATGCCCGTCTTCATTAGCCCAGTTCGGAGCAGAACAGCAGGACGTTAAACTCAGTTTCATTATATTTTTACTTTAACATCATAAGTATCATATATCTGATTGCACATAGATTTTACGATAGAATTTAAATTACATAAGTATCTATGTTACTTATTTTATGATTTTACTATACAAATTCAAATTACATTAGTATCATAGATTTCATGCATTATGTTCTTTATTTTATAATTTTACCATGAAATATAAAGATCTCTTCCTATATACACAGTGTGTTGTTTGGTGATATATTCGGACGAAAATATTCAAACTAATTTATGTATGTGATGTTTGCTTCAAATCATCTCTCCAAGCATATAAATCTAAAAAAAAACTACAATAAACTATAAAAATCTAATATGTCAGTTGACTTCATTGAGGCGAGAATTTGTCGTTACTCGCTGTCCATTCCCCCAAAATATCAAAGCCCGTGTACAATCGGAGATTATCCTCTGCCAACTTCCTTTTCCGCTGTTTAAATTTGCAGTATATTTAAGTATTCCATTGTTCCACAAACGCTAGCCCTTTGATCTACAAAACCAAGCAGTGTTTTTCAGGCAGACGCTCAAATATTTTACTCGAAGATAGGGAATCTCTTATTTCCATATATACCAAATTTTCCATAATTTTATTAAACATAGCTACCATATAAATACTTCCGTTGGAATTTATCTTTAAATTGCATTTGTTTCTATTATCTTAAAGCGAGAATTTCAAATTTTCTAAGAAAGTCAAAACATAATTATTTCTATGTCTTTTGCTCAATAGGTTATCAAATCACTATTATACGATCATTGGCATTATTTCCCACCCTTAAAAATTGTATGACACAGGAAATAACACAATTACCTCCCCTGTTTTGCTATTGACAACATGGGGCAGCCATTTTCCAACGTTGGAATTTGAAGTTAAAAATGATATTTTTGCCAATTTCTCAGCTGGCAATAGCGAATTATAGGATTAATAGGATCATTCTTTAAGAAGGTAGGACTGCTTATGGATACCATCTATTTAAGGCTTTATTTTAATACATTTTAAAAATATAACTTGAAAATTTGCAATTTCCGCTTTAATCTTTATAACCACAAAAAGGAAAAATCATCCGATTAAAATCTTGAAAGGTGTTGACCGCTCGATTTCGTTTTGTATATGCTGTCATGTCATTTTTCTGGGTGCTTTCCCTAATTCATAGCTGTTGACTCCCAAATTCTAGGATCCCAAAACAATGAATATTCACCAGAATATGCCCATTTCTTCCTTTCTAGACGAAAAGATAAATCAAAATTACCATGCTTCATCCCTTTTCTATCGTCACCGTCCCTCTTTCTGACGCTACCAGACTTTTTACCTACGTC